AATCATGCATTTTTTACAAGATGCATTTCTGCATCAGTTATGGTAGTGAGCAAAGCTGAGTGCTGTCTATTCCAAGCCATGGTATCTATGCAAACGCCATGCCTTTCTTGCTTGGTGGAGAACTGAGAGTCATTTCTAATATGCACAGAGTAGCGTATTCCCGTGATGGGTTTCTAGCGAGTGGTTAGTCCATGATACCTCAGTCAGGGCTAAGGGTATAGGAATGCTAGCAAAAAGGAGGAATTAATATCATATTCTGGATTTGAACATGCAGCCTCCTGGCTGTATAGCCCATGCTGCTTTCAACTTTGAGGTTTTTAACCGATGGACCACTTAGATGGGACTTATACACTGCTTTGAAGGAGTTACTGTACCTTCCCTCACAAACAATTATCTTCTTACAGACCTAATATAGGCTTTTATGATTATATCTTATGTTTTTAAATTGCATTTGTAATTATAACCCTTTGTCTTTAGTGTTAATTAGTTAGAATTCTAAGCATTTTGCCTTTTGTAATCTAATGTATTCGGACAGGAAGTCAAGAGGAGCGATGGCACCTGCAGATTCTGGATAAAGGCAGAGTGACGTGTCCTAAATGTAAAGCTGTTGTTAGGAAAACCGTTGAGGGGTTGAAGAAACACATGGGAAACTGCAAATTGGTATGGATGATAATGTATATGGCATTGTAAAATAATTGCTTAATCTTATGGAAAGCTTTGAAAAAAAAGTTTTGTTTCTGCATCTTTTACCATTTTTATCTTGGAAACACTTTGAGAATTTGGTCCAGTTAAGAAACTCCTTTCTTCATGGAAAAAAAAGAAAAATGCTGTCCACAAGCTCTTCTGTTGTGAATGACATCTTGCATAAGAATAACAGCAAACATCTGTTTTTATTCTGTCTTTCTTTAATTATAGAATACCTTCACATGTCAACACTGTGGAAAACAGCTGAAGTCTTTGACTGGAATGAAGTATCATGTCATGGCTGACCACAATAACTTGGTAAAACAGTTGTTGTAATTAATTTAAAATTCTATGAATTTCCTGTTTGCGTTGTTGTGACGGAAGTCTTCCTTTTTTTCTAGCCAACTCCAGAGGATTCAAATGGTTTGGATAGTCATGCCCTCAAGGACAGATTAAGAAAGGTGCTGAAAAGAATGGGCAAATTGAAGTGCACAAAGGAGGTATGCACTTTCTGCCTGTTCCATATAGCAACACATGACTAAAATTTACAATATTTGAAATAATGGAAACAAATTGCTATTATGGATATACTGTACAACTGATTTCAATTTATTCATATACATTTTAAAACAATATTCTTGAAAAATATTTAAGTATACAATCAGTATGTGTTGC